TGATTTGAAGATCAGTGCCAACCAGTACCCGTGCAGAGATTGCTGCCTGCATTAGTGCTAACGGGGCACAGTTCTGGGAAGCTGGTGGGGAGAATCCTCTCTCTTTACTTTCCTGCAGTTTTGTTACTATTGAATTTATTGTTTTTGCTTTTTTCTTCCCCCTCATATTTTGCTTTGTTTGAGACAGGGTCTCACTCCATAACCCAGGTTGGCCAGGAGCTCACCATGTATGGAGCCCAACTCACCTTGACCTTGTGTTGATTCTCCTGCCCTGGCTATCCAAGTGCTGGAACTGTACACATGAAGCATCATTTCCTGGCCCAATTTGTTTTCACCAAATATATTTTATAAACACTCATTTAATATTACATTATTTGATAAAACTCTAGTGTTGAAAGCTCATGCTTTTTGTTTTTTTTTGGGGGGGGTGGTGTCTTTTTGAAAACAGGGTCTCCCTGTAGCCCCAGCTGGCCTGTAACTCACTGTGTAGACCAGGTTGGCCTTGAACTCACAGAGATCACCTGCCTCTGTCTCCCAAGTGCTGGGATCACAGGCATGCATCACCACGCCCAGCTTGCTTTTTCTTTTTTTAATAAATGAAATAAGCCAGGTGTCGTGGCGCACGCCTTTAATCCCAGCACTTGGGAGACAGAGGCAGGTGATCTCTCTGAGTTCAAGGCCAACCTGGTCTACACAGTGAGTTACAGGCCAGCTGGGGCTACAGAGAGACCCTGTTTCAAAAAAACCAAAGGAAAAAAAAAAAAAAACCGATGAAATATATAATTTGTAACAGCCCTGGCATTTGTTTTGGTTCCAGCGTGTCCTACGATTCCAGTAGTTCTCAAGTTACAAAGGGGCCATTTTCTAGTGTTTGCTTATTTTTAAAAAATATTTTATTATTTTTATTTTATGTGTATGAGTATATTGCCTGTGTGTATGAAGTGCCATACATATCATGCAGTGCCTGCAGAGATCAGAAGAGGGCATCAGATCCCCTGGACCTGGAGTTACAGACAGTTGTTAGCTGCATATGGGTGCTGGGATATGAACCCAGGTCCTCTGCAAGAGCAGACAGTGCTCTTAACCACTGAGACATCTCTACAGCCCCTAGTACTCTTTTTAAATTAGTTAGAATTGAAGAAAAAATTTTCCCAGTGTTTGCTCTAGGCCTGAGGTGCTTTTAAAGAATTTTAAACATATTTATTTATATATGTGTGCACATGTAAGAGTCTCGAGTATTCATGTGGAAGTTGGAAAATAGCTTGCAGGAGTTGAGTTCTCTCACCTTGTGGGCTCAGGGATTGAACTCAGATCATGAGGCTTGGCAGCAAACACCTTTACCTGCTAAGCTATCTGCCGTCCAAGGCCTCAAATTTTTACATGTTCATTATATGTAGTGCTTCTCAGTTCAGTCCCCAATTCGTATTTCGCTCATGCTGTTGAGTTTACCATAGCACGGCGTCTATAAAAATGTGTCTGTACGTGGAATCATGTAGTGTTTTTTGGAATGATATGCCAGAGGGGAGGGTCATGGCTTAATCTCTACCACCCATCTGTGTGAACGTAAAGCTTATAGGAAAGATAAACATGTGTATCTTTGGGAATCATGGGAATTCCTGGAAACAGTGAGTGACATGATTAAGTGGGAGACAGAGTTTGTGCCCCTCCATCGGGGAAGAGGGAGCTGTGGGTGGTTGTCTGGACAAGTGGGGGTAATGTTTAAAAAGGAATCTTCTGGAAAGGGAGGAAACCTACGAGCTGTAAAGCATCTACTGCCCTCCCAGGCCTGTAAGTGACCAGGCTGGCCCCATGGGGAACCCACAGAAGGGGGGAGGTATCCGTGCAGTTGCAGGCCCCACAGTGACTGTAAGTGAACAGGCAGGCGCCACAGTGACCCTGTGGAAGGGGGAGGGTTTGCTTGTATCTCTGGGTGTGCAGTTTAGAAATGCAAGATTTACTAAGATACTGAATATACCCACTCCGTGTTCTGGGTTTCTTGATTCTAAAGGGTGTGTGTGTGTGTATGTACATATATAACCACAGTGCCTGTCAGTTGTGCATCTGTGTTGGTAACAGTTTTATTAAGATTATCAGTACTTGGCAAATCTTCACTTTTTCTTTTTCTTTTTCTTTTTTTTTTTTTTGGTCTTTTTGAAGCAGGGTCTCCCTGTAAGCCCCAGCTGTCTTAGAACTCACTATGTAGACCAGGCTGGCCTTGAACTCTCAGAGATCCACTTGCCTCTGCCTCCCAAGTGCTGGGACTATAGGCGTGCACTACTATGCCCGGCTGCAAATCTTCACTTTCAAAAGCTGTTAGCTTTTTATCCCCAATAAAGCACTAATCTATAAGCCATAATCATCTAGACCATTTATTCTTTTAAAAGTTTGTGATTTGCTTATTTTTATTTTATGTGTATGAATGTTCTGCCTTTGTGTGTGTAAGTGCATCTGTGCCTGCAGTGCCTGTGGAAGTCAGAAGAGGGCATCAGATCCTCCTGGAAGTGGAGTTAGAGCTGGTTGTTAACTGCCATGTGGAAGCTGGGAACAGAACCTGGGTCCTTTGCAAGAGCAGCCAATGCTCTTAACCACTGAGTCATTTCTCCAGCCCTTAAACCATTTATTCACTTTAAAAAAAAATATTTTATTTTATGTGTATGAGTGTATTGCCTGCATGTAGGTAAGTGCACCCATGTCACGCAATGCTCACGGAGGACAGAAGAGGCCATCAAATCCCCTGGAACTAGAGTTATGGACAGTTGTTAGCTGCCATGTGGGTGCTGGGATTTGAACCCAGGTCTTCTGCAAGAACAACCGGTGTTCTTAACCGCTGAGCCATCTCTCCAGCCCCTAAACCATTTATTCTTAAAGAGGTATTGGTCAGTAAATATGATTTCATTTTAAGTTGTATAGGAGATCAGTAATGCTTTGAAGAAAATCAGGTGGTGCATTGTGTTTTGACCTCCCTTCTCTGCGTGTAGACAAAATAGTAAAAGAAGATAACAAAAAGACATGACTGGGGTCATAGATGTTAAAAAAGCATCTCAGTCAGTTGGAAAATAAAGGGACACAGATCGGTGGAAGCAGAATTGGAGCCTGCCAGGCTGAAAGGCCAGTCAGCTGTGAAGGACATTAGGAACTAGCAGTTTTAAGAATAAGTACAAAAATAGGGAAACAGGCTTTCTCCTGAAAGCCAGTCATCTAGCTACCTGGGACAGACTTAACTTCAGGTCAGATCTCCAAGAAATCACATTTCTAGAATCAGTAACATACCGTGTTCTTTTAACTGCAATTAAATTAAAGCCCAGTATGACTTGCCTTACCAGCTCTTAAAACATGTGAAGGTTGTCCTGAAGTATATATGTCCACAGTGTACCAATATAGTTAAAACATACATACTTAGGTGTGTCTGTGCACTGTGTACCAACATGGCCAAAACATACACAAAGGTTGTACTAATGTTTGTCCACTGAGTACCATCATGGATGTAAAGGCAGTGCTGTGGTCCAATCAGATTGCGTACAGAGAAAAAAAAATGCAGAAATAAAAATTATAAAGTACCAGAATTTAGTTTGTGATAAAGATCATTAAAGGAAAACTAAACCTCATGGAGAGGAAATAAGCGAACTTTAAAAAATGGCTGAAAAGTCATTTCTGACTTATCACAGGAAAAGGTTTCCTAGCCTGAACATAAACTGTATAAAAGAGAACCAGTGAAGATCAAGCCAGGTGTGGCAATGCATGCCTGGAATCCTAGCCTTTGGAGAGGCTGATACAGGAGCATTGGGAGTTTGAGGCCATCGTGGGCTGCATAGTAGTGAGCTCCTGTTTCCACAAACAAAAGCTCAGTAACCCTATAGAAAAATACATGAGCGGGGTTCATATAAGGGATTCAAGTGACCCTAAGATAGTATTTGGAGACCAGAGCTGCAGTTGGGCTCAGTGGTAAAGTGTTGCCGAGCATGCTTGAGGCCCTAGATTTTCTTCCCACCACGGAATGGGAAGGAAAACAGAAAACTGCACAAACTTCTTAGAATAGGCATAGCAAAAATAAAACCACACTGGGCTGAGCTTTCTCATTATGAGCAAAATTAGAGGAATTTGGTGATACTGGGGGAGAGGGGCCTTCTTACCTGTGTTCCTTCCCTTTGGGAGGGTGGACTTGGCAGTCTTTACCGAAGTCGCTTATGCTTTTAACTACTGAACAATCTGTGTGTGGGTGTATTCTGTGCAGCACTCTTTAGCAAGTGTGAAAAGCCAGCCAGGTACTTATGAACCAGACATTTTTCAAAAAGAAAAAGCAGTATGTCTGCACTGCTTCAGAGTGATGTCAGGATTACTTTGGGGTGGGGGGGAGCAAAGAATTCATACTACACGTCCTTTGCAAAAGGATGTGCATGTGTTTGATTAGATTTGGGAGAAGACCCAAAAACTTTAAAAGTTACCTGTTTACCTGCTGTGGTTAGGAAGGAAGATAGATAGTAGTCTCTAAAATTCAGAAGCAAAATTCCAAGAAAGCCCTTCATGAGCTAGTGGTCTGATCACATAGAGGGAGATTATTTCAGGAGACTGACTGCAGTGATTTCTATGTGCGACCTAGTAGAATAACTTAAGAATAAAAAATTGCAAAGAAATCTGAAACATTTGAGGGGAAGTAAGACTGTTGATCCAGGGTTTCTTGTAGCCCAGACTGGTCTTAGTTCACTCTCTGTAGCCTTGAACTCCTGATTCTCCTGCCTCTACCATTGAAACTTTCTAGTTATTTGGTTGATCATGATTTTAATGGCCTATGGTTTACATCTGTAGGGCTGTGTAAGAACTGGCTCTTCAGGGTCTGGAGGAAATGGCTCAGCACTTGATGCTTTTGCAGAAGACTCAGGTTTGGTTCCCAGAACCCGTATCAGTTCCAGAAGATCAAACATGCTTTTCTTGCCTCTGTAGGCACCTGCACACTCACACACACACTTAAGTACACACACACACACACACATAAAAAAATCTTAGTGCTCACTTTGGCAGCATGCATAATAAAATTGGAACAATATAGAGATTAGCATGGCCCCTGTGCAAGGATGACATGGAAATTTGTGAAGTGTTCCATAATTTTTTTTTTTAATCTTAAAAAAATTACTCTTGGGCCTGGAGAGATGGCTCAGCGATTAAGAGTAGTGGCTGCTCTTGCAAAGGACCCAGGTTCAGATCCCAGTACCCACATGGCAGCTAACAACCATCCTAATTCTAGTTCCAGGGGATCTGATGATGCCCCCTTAAGACCTCCTCTGGCATTGCGTGACATGGTTGTGCTTACACACATATAGACGATACATTCATACACATAAGATTAAATAATAATAAAGATTTAAAAAAATTTTTTTAAAATACTCTTTGAAAGACTGTTGAGATGACTCTGGTTAAGAGCACTGGCTACTCTTGCACAGGACCTAGGTTTGGTTCTCAGTGCCCACGTGGCAGTTAATATGTTAGTTAAGTGGTCTGTAACTCCAGTTCCAGGTTTATTGTCCTCTTCTGGCCTTGGTGGGAATTGCACACGTGTGGTGCACCCACATATATGCAGGCAAGACACTAGTACACATAAAATATGAATAATTTACAAAAGAAACGAGACTTCTTAGGAAAAGAGGGATGACTGAAATCTGAGGCCAGGGGTATAAGGTAAGCCTAGAATATCCTTTTATGATTAAGATCAAGTAAGGAAGCTGGTTCTTTAACACTATAGTGAAAGGATTCAACTCAAAGGGCTTTCAGTGACCAAAATGATGCTCTTTGGACATTGTACAAAATAACCACGGGGAATAGACATGTTGCCTGCTAGTCTTAGGGAGATGCTGTGGAGCTGGCCCATCTTAAATGATGTACAGATTTAGGAAGTAAATCAAGCCTCTGCTCTCAACTTGTATAAACTACATTTTAGGTAACTTCAGATTAATACCTGTGAAGGAATGTGGAACCCATCACCTGGAAGTTCTAATAATGTAATGAATTTAAAGGATCATTTTATTAAAGCACACTCAGCATTTCAATCAGATGTATCTTGTAGACCTTGTCTATGTTTTTTGTTGGTTTTTTTTTGTTGTTGGTTTTTTTTTTTTTTTTTTTTTTTTTTTTTGGTTTTTTTGAGACAGGGTCTCGGTATAGTCCCAGCTGGCCTGGAACTCACTATGTAGATCAGGCTGGCCTTGAACTCACAGAGATCTGCCTGCCTCTGCCTCCTAAGTGCTGGAATTAAAGGTATGCATCACCACACCCGGCTTGAGGGTGAATTTTTAATTCATACTTTTTATTTATTTTAAAAATATTTCTATTTTATGTGTTACGTGTATTGCCTGCATGTGTATAAGTGCACCCATGTCATGCAATGCCCATGGAGGACAGAGGGTATCAGATCCCCTAGAACTGGCGTTACAGATGATTGTTAGCCAGGTCTTCTGCAAGAGCAGTCAGTGCTCTTAATCACTGAGCCATCTCTTCAGCCCCAATTCATAGTTTTTATAAAAATTAAGTCTCTACAACTTCAGTATGATTTAGAGTGTGTGTGTATGTGTGTTTACACACATATGCCACAGCATGCATGTGGAGGTCAGAGGACAGCTTTGGAGATTTGTTTCTCTTCTTTCATCATGTTTTTGAGGCAGGGTCTCTCTCTCTCTCTCTCTCTCTCTCTCTCTCTCTCTCTCGTGTGTGTGTGTGTGTGTGTGTGTGTGTGTGTATGTGATCACATCTGACCCACAAGCTTTCAGGTGAGTCTCCTGCCTGTATCTCCCCTCTCGTAGTAGGAGTACTGGGATTACTGGTGCATGCTACCACATCTGGCTTTATATGTGGGCTCTGCAGATCACTCAGTTCATGAGGTTTGCATAGTGAGCACCTTTATCCACTAAGCTATCTTCCTAGTCCTCTCAAACTTTTAGTCAAACTTTGAGGTGCGTGGGCTTCAGTTCCTTTTCTCTGGAGTTACATAAGTTCCTTTTCTTGTAGGACTCCTTGTATCCTGTAACCCTGGTGATGGCAGCAGTGAGTGACAGCTGTGTGCTCCTGGTTATTTCTAGCCGGCCAGTTGTGCTCTTGCATTCCTGTTGCCCTTTCCTGGTGTTTTCAGGACACATCTTCTGCTTCGTTTCAGCCATGAATCAGAGAATCAGCCAGAGTGCTCCAGTGAAGCAGCCTCCACCTTTGGCTCCCCAGAGCCCACAGGGAGGCGTCCTGGGTGGGGGCAACTCTAATCAGCAGCAGCAGATTCGGCTGCAACAGCTGCAGATGGAGAAGGAGAGACTGCGATTGAAACAGCAAGAATTGCTGCGGCAGGTGAGGCCACAGGTTAGAATCCAGCCTTCCTCATTCGGGGTTTTCATTCCTGCACTGCACAATCCACACATTACAGTTTAGCACTTACCAGTTGCAGGGGAGTATTGGCTCTGTGAAACTGGGGCGACAGCAGAAACCTGCCTTTGACTTGTTTCTTGCCTGGCCATCAATCCTGTGATGTAACTTATGATCCTGTGTCATAAACAGCTGAGAGTGGTGGTGCACACCTGTAATCTCAGCACTTGGGAGGTCACTGCAAAAGGATCAGAAGTTCAAGACCAGCCTGGGCTTCGTGAGACACTATCTCAAAGCAAACAAACAAAAAATAATAAAAAATAGCTCCTTTGGCCATTGCAGCCAAGTAAAAATGGAAAGAGCATGTGGAATTGTAGATCACTGTGTTCGTGAGTAGTCCTGAGATGGAGAAGGTCTGAGGAATCCCTTGGAGAAACCATTTTTACCTTAAATGAGTTATTTCTGTAGAGGGTATACCAGTGTGACATTTCTTGAATGGTAAATACATTTCAGTATTGCTAAATCTAAGAATTTTGTTTAAAACATAATACAGCTGGAGCTAGAGAGATGGCTCAGTGGTTAACAACACTGGCTGTTCTTGCAGAAGACCCAGGTTTGAATCCCAGCACCCACATGGCAGCTAACAACTGTCCATAACTCCAGTTCCAGGGGATCCTGGAGTCTGGAGCCTCTTCTGTCTTCTGCGGGCATTGCATGACACGGGTGCACTTACCTACATGCAGGCAATACACACATACACATAAAATAAAAATAACAAAA